ATTACATTTGACCACTTTGCATTTTTCTATATAGCTATAAAGAGGTTCAATGCAGCTCAAGGATTAATTAAGTTAAAGTCCCTTAGACACTTATGGCCCACGCTTCCCTTCACACTTGGTTCCACTTCATTTTAACAATCAACCATCATCAAGCCTAACTTTGGTGCTGCAGAGGTTTCCGTTTCCTAGTATGGCAGTATCTTCAGTATGATGACTCATTGCCATGGAAACAGGGAGTCAGTATGCCTGACAAACGAGTGACCTTTTGGTCTGTGGGATGACCCCTGCGAGGATTGAGCCAGAGCGGATTAGATGTTTTTCCACACAATTAGACTGCCTTGTTTCAACCACTAATGACTAACATGGATCATTTTTAAACAGCCTCCTTTAGTATGCATGTAGAGAGCCTTACGACTGTACATAATTAACTGAATATAAGTAGTGGTAGAAGTACTCAGATATTGTAGAAGTACCAGAGTGTAGGAATACTCTGTTACAAGTCAAAGTCCTGCATTCAAAATCATACTTAAGTAGAAAGTAGAAAAGTATTAGCATCAAAATATACTTAAAGTACCAAAAGTAAATTATGCAGATTGGCACATTTCAGAATAATATTAGCTATATGATTGATTGATCAAGATTAATGCATTATTGAGTTTATCAAAGCTGGTAACGGTGCAGCTAGTTTTAAATACTTTGTTAACGTCCAGGGTAGCTTGTGAATGTTAGTCAAGGTGTAACAAAAGTATATTTTTAAGTGTTGTTTATATTTTCGATCATTAATCCAAATCTGCAAAGAAATTAAAGGTACTAAATAAATGTAGTGGAGTAAAAGTATACTATTAAAACCAATACATGTTTAAAACAGTATGCACAGAAAAGTATTTTGATAAAATGATATTTAAACTAATTTAATTAGTTGCAGCAGCAATTACAGCCAGTATTTAGCCTGTTACTTTATCACTATACATAGCTGTATCCATCAGAGCCTAAAGCAGACTTTGAGAAAATCTCAATAGTAAAAAGTACAATGGTAGGATGAACGTGACTAAGAGATATGGCTTATGGTAAAAGAAAGACACCATTAAAAGATCAAAGGATTTTCTAAAAAAGGAATAACTTGCCAAACATCATCCTTTACTTACAGTTTGAAGCAACTGCAAAATACAAATTGTTTGTCCAAAAAAAGGCCTTGAGTGAATATCCAGCGCTGTAGACTTTACATCCTGATAGTGTCAGAGCTTGAACGCAGTGTAGACCCTCTGAGCACTTGTCGTGGACTGCAGAGGTTCGGGTTCAGTTCCTGACACCTTGCTCATCCATGTATGCCAAAGCATTTAAAGACAAAGAAGAAAAGGTATCCCTGCCCCCAACCCCCATCTAGACAAGTCCTGTCAGTGTCAGGCAGCTGCAACAAGCTGACATAATGAACTTATAAAACAGTCAAGATATTTTTTATGTGAGATGAAATGGTATCAGTATAGGTGATTGGCATTTATATTAACTTCTCTTGAAACTACAGAAAGAAATACAGAGAAATTAACAAACTACCTTTTAAAAAAATCTACACACATCCACTTCACGATAGTTTTTAATGACTACAGTTACAGTCTGCAATAATAAGCATTTTATTTTTTGATTGCTGTCAAAATAAGTTATGAAACAGGGTTACTAGAATCTGGGGTAAAATGTCATTATAAAGCTGCTGTAGAGTAAATAGATGATGTAAGACTGCTGTTCTTTGACAGGATGCCCTTACATGGACCTGAAGTCTGAATTTCAAACTGAGGTTCGCAGAATTAAAACAGGAATGGAGAAATAACTCCATCCATCACACACACCAATAATCAGTCAATTATTATTTCTAGTTGGATTTAAATTCAAAGTCCACTTATATATTTGGCACCCTGCTTATTGTGTGAAGATACATCAATGGTTTGTTTACCTGATTAATACTCCCAAGAAGATGTATGCATCCCACAATTTGAAAGTGTCACTCATTGTTTACTCAGGCTCAGGTCAACACTTTTTGTTGGGCTAAACATGTAACAGATCACTTAACCTGCAATTACCACAGTCGATACAGTTATGCACTGCTAATTGTAATTCAATTATACAATGTGCTGGAGTGCTGGAGTGCTGGCCAATAGAAGCAAGTGTTACCTTGGGATTTTAGCTTTGGCAGACCATTTACATGCACAAAAACCTCAAAACCACAATAAGCAATAGGGCTGAATGATGAAGCAATGTTTCACTTGTCTACTTATGCTGAGCAGCACCCTCTCATCTCCGTGTTAAAACCACAAACTGTTTTTTTATAACCTTTCTCTTTGTGTATGGAATTTTATATTAATAATTATTTTTCAACATATCAGAGAATTAATACAAGCATTCTTCTTCAGAAAAAGGGGTCATTTGTACTGTTGTGGGCATCTTTGGAATAACCACGTCAAAAGCTTCATTTATGATCATATTCCTCTTCGCATTATTTCCTACTCTCATATGGTTAGTCCACAACAAACCAGTGAGAATGGCCTGTTTTATTCTTTGATACAACCGGTTCACATTACATCAGTCATTTTATTTTTCAGACTGAATGTTAAAGCTACACGTCTGCAATCATGCTATTTGAGGACATAGCATCTCCTTCCTGCAGTCACTTATCATGCGGAGGCAGTTGGATATGGTTCAGCAGCTTCCTTCCTGCCAGACTCATGGAACGAACGTCTGCCGAACACAAAGAAGAACCACGGTAAAGAGGAGAGAAACATATATGTCATTCAGGCTCCTGTAAACCATTAGCCACATCACTATACTTAACTACTAAAGATCAATCCAGGCTAGATAACTCACCTGCTACAGCGTGCAGCCCATCCCGCCTGCTGCCTTTTGCCTGTTTTCAGTCTATCTGACCTGTTTTTGTGATCATAGCAAAAGGCCAAAAATGATCAACAAAAAATAACAATCCATAACTAATTCAAGTATTGTCAATATAGCAGGGAATAATCAACAGGCAACAACAAAGTGGCATTTTCCAGGTCTGAAAGGGAAGTCAATGTGGAAAGGCTTTAAATGAGCATTCTTTCAAATGGTCGTTTAGGGACGTTTAAACATTTTTTATAGAAGTGTATGCGAGAATTACCCTAATTCTCCCTTGATTTATTACCTCAGCACACATTTTTACAATAGGATTATAGTCTCAATTGCTAGTTTCTTCAATACAAAATGTTGTTATGTTGTGAATGATAAAGCTTTTTTAGGGAGTGTGGCTAACTTGACAGGTCACGAGCTCACGACAGTGTTGTTACGCTAGGTGTTATTTTAACCCTGTTGCTGTATGGTTTCAGTTTAATGAAAACTAAATGAAACATTGTGCCAAAAACACAACATAGTGAAGTCCAGAATGCCAAAATCAAAGCCTCAAACCGGTTGGGAACAAACAATAGTTTTTATGACTAGGTCCACTTCCTATATGTACAGTTTATTGGAGTTATCAATCAATCAATAGGATACGGCTGTAATAGGCCTAAGGCCTTTTAGTCGCTCATAAATAAGTAGATCACTGTTCTTTATATACTATGGATGCTGGCAACAGTCACATAGTCCAAAGTGAAGGTGATGTTTGACCAGTAATGGTCGAGGCGGGACTTGAGACAGTTAACCGTCTTGGATGTGACAACGCTTTCTGGCAGATCATTCCACAAGTCAACCACACGCAGGCTGAAAAAGTTGCGGCGGATAGCCAGTCTTGAGTACTGTTTCTTCAACTTGAGGCAGTGTCCATGAGTCCTGGTGTTATAATCCCATTGTAGTGGGCATGATGTTTTGTAGATGTTGTGGAGATATTTGAAAACTTCGATCATATCTCCCCTTCTATAATACATACTCGGGATCTTAAGACTTTGCAGTCGTTCTTGATATGGTAGGTCCTTTAGTTCTGGAACCAGCTTCATTGCCCTTCTCTGTATTTTCTCGATGAGCTCAGCATCCTTTTTGTACATGGGGGACCAAGCGACATTCCCATACTCGAGGAGTGGCCGTACAAGAGAGATGTATAAACTACGTACTACGTCAGAGTCCAAATAAGTGTATGATCTGCGGATCATTGCTAGGATACCAATCGCTTTGTTACTTGCCCGACGGATATGGTCACTAAATGTCAGGGTATTATCAACATTCACACCAAGGTCCTTTTCATTCTGAGTCTCGGATAGGTTTATAGTGTTTGAATTATCCCCCATATTATACTCATATTTTGGGTTCTGAAAACCTAAGTGCATTACTTTGCACTTTGCTGGATTGAATTTGAGCTGCCAACACTCGGACCACATCAGCATTTCTCTGAGATCTGACTGGAGTTTTTCTGCATCCTCTTTACACTTAATTAAGTTATGCTTTCCCCTTGAATATTTGAAAGCTGTATAATCCAATCTCTTCATTTGTTTTAAAGCTTTAAAAAGGCTTTTTTTCCCTTGTTTGATATGTAGTGACGTTGTTTCTGTTTGTCTTATTATGTTGTTGTGAATGTTTCTACTTCTCTGGTCTCTCTTGGAAAAACATCCTTATTATCTTAATGAGGCTGCCTGATTAAAGGGAACAATAAATCAACATTGTTCGATGGAGTTACCCCTGAACACATGGTGCTGGACCAGCTTTAATGGGCCATGTTCCCAATTCTGTTATAAGATTATTTGATAATTATTTAAGCTGCTGGCGATGTTTTGGTATAGTTTTTCATCGCCCACATGCGGTCTTTACCCTGATTGCTCCGGATTAGCACCAGACTGAATAGGCAGGAAGGAGATTCCAACTTATTTGCGCTCACTTGACAACACGCATGTACTTTCGAAATATTGCAGATGATTAATTTGCAAAAATATGTTACTTGTCAGACAAACTTTCACTGAGCTGACCATTAACTAACAGCAATATACAGTGTTCAAAAGGCTTGTGCCTCAATTCCAAACATATTATTCTCTGAGCTTCTTTCCAAATTGAAGTGTTGTAGCGTTTATTCTCAAGATGAAGTTTGAGAATGTTCTGGCAGTGGTGGACGGCTTTGGGAGATTCCAACAAATGATAATCCTCATGAGTGTAATACCTCGTATGACTTTGCCTTTTCACTTTTTGCTGAATAATTTTGTCGCAATTATTCCCTCTCACCACTGCGACATCAGCTCTCTGGATGATGGAGGATATTTTGGGAATTTATCCCAGGAAGAGAGGCTTATTGTTGGTATTCCAGTCCAGGAGGATGGGACTCCAAACTCCTGTCAGATGTTTGCAGAGCCTCAGTATCATCTGCTGCTGAACTCCTCCAGCATGACTGAACTACCAACAGTGCCGTGCCAAAATGGATGGGTGTACGATACTTTCAGGTCTTCTCTGGCCACTGAGGTGAATCGTTTTTTCTGTTTTAAATTAATATAAATAATTGATATACACTTTGATATTCACTTTGTTGTCTGTTTCCCTCATAGTGGGATCTGGTTTGTGATCAAAGAAAAATGAACACAGTCACAGCCACTATCTTCTTCTTGGGGGTCATGTTTGGAGCAGCAGCGTTTGGCTATATTAGTGACAGGTGATTATGCCTTTATAACTCTCAATTCAGAAACAGTATCTGTGGTTAAATTACACTACTTGATTAGAGAAAATGTATACATTTATGACTTATACATTTAAAGGGGCCCTATTATGCTGATTTCTAGGTTCATATTTGTATTTGTGCCTGAATTGTGACTTGTTTACATGCTTTAATGTTCAAAAAGGTCTTTATTTTTCTCATACTGCCTGTGTTGCAGCACCTCTTTTCACCCTCTGTCTGAAACCAGAGCCCAGTCTGCTCTGATTGGTTAGCTGTCCGGCTCTGTTGTAATTGGGCAACCTCTTAGAGATGTCCCGCCCAATGTCTGTACAATAACTGTATGTAGTCAAGAGGTGTGTCCAAAAGTTGAGGTATTAATTATGCATAAGAAACAAGAAAAGAAGCTTAACTTGTACTTACTCCGAAAGTCCAAGGTTAATACTCAATAGTGGCTAATTAAACGTTCATATACAGAGGTTTAATGACATGCCATTCAACTCCTGACCTAATCTAAACCTTAACGCCAACCATAATATTAACCCTCACCCACACATTAACAGAGACGAGGAAGAAGGAATGTTTGTCTGTTGTTAGGCCTTTATTTGTGTAAACAAATATGTGTGTGTTTTTAGCAATTCTACAGATTTATTCATAATCATTTTGTACCACAGGTTTGGCAGGAAAAACTCTCTTCTGGTGTCCTATGTGACAACGAGTCTCTTTGGATTTACAAGCGCTCTCTCATATAATTTCACCATGTTTGCTGTCATGAGGTTCCTGACAGGATTTGGAATTGCCGGAATAAGTATAACCAGCATCGTCCTTTGTGAGTTTAATCTCATAGTATCTGTGAAATAAAATGTCTGAATTGTACATTTCAGAAAACAAAAATAAAAATAAGAATAAATGTATGTTGATTTAATGTTATTGAGTCTACGTATTTGATTGATTTGATTTATTATCATTGCTTTTGATAGGTATTGAATGGGTGGACATCAAGCATCGAACTAAAATTGGTGTCTTAATGAGTCTGGACTGGAGTATTTTTACGGCTCTGCTTCCTGTTATGGCCTATTTTGTGAATGACTGGAGGGTCCTCACTGCCATAGCAACCTCCCCGCTGATTCTGGCAATGATTTCTTGGTGGTAAGGATAACACAATAATTTAACCATCAGCGAAAACAAGCACGTTTATTGCCTTTTAATGTCTCCAAGACAAAGCTGCTCAAGTTAGGTCAGAACCATATAAAAATGTTAAGATCATTTTCAGCATTTTGAGCATCTGAATACCAGCATGGCTGCTATGTTTTGATGAGAGAGGCATGTTACTCATACGCAGTTTGTCTGAAAATTATTTTTAAAATCTATGATTTTTTCAATTAACATTTTAATGCAGGTGGCTCCCTGAGTCTGCCAGATGGCTGATAAGTAATGGAAAGGTAGAAGCTGCTCATTTTTACTTGAGAAAGTGTGCAAAAGTGAACGGCAGAGAGCAGTTCATGGCTGACTTAAAGCCCGAGGTACAAGATTTGACATGATCTGATAACTTCTAATCAGAAATATATTCACTCTACTGTATAACTACAATGCTGACCAAAATGTATTTTTTTCTCTGCAGAGTCTGTCGAAGGTAATACTTGTGGAAAATGAAAACAGAACATATTCCTATTTGGACCTTGTGAGGACCCCCAGAATGAGGAGACTGGCTATACTCACTGCCATTGTCTGGTACATAAATGTCTTTGTTTTTTATTTTTCTGTCTGGGCCTCTCAATTTCTGCAGCCTCTTTGGTGTACTTGTCTTGTATATGTTTTAGCCTCATTATTGCAGTACAGACTGCTATAACACTTAAGGGGTTTAAAAAACATTCAGCTCCCCAAACAATCTCTGAACAGTCCATTATTAGACAGGCACAAATAAAAGTGTCTGATCCAGACCAGATTCTCCACACAGTTTCAGCAATTAGCTTTTAGTAGAAGATGCAGGTTTCCATTTAGCTGCAACACCTATCTGAAGTGTAATGTGGATTTAAATGTTGGCCTTGAGGGTTGTGCAATAAGTCACCATTTTCAGTAGATGTATGTGTATATGTGTATGGGCAAACTGTGTATGGAAGCATCTGATGGGTTTTTTGTGCAGTATATTATATGATTTTCATCTTTTGTGGAACTGCACAACGGAGACCTTAATAAATGTCCCTACTGGGACAATAAAGAATATCTAATCGTATGACTTGTAGTGCCAGTGGTTATGTAAAACAAAGTATTATTTAAATATGTTCTTTTCTATGGCAAATGTGTAACTCAAATTGTATTTTGATATAATTTGCTCTCTGTTGACAGGTTTGGAGTGGCCTGCCCGTATTACGGAATCATTTTCAATGTCTCTGGATTTGGTTTGAACATCTATATCACACAGTTGATCTACGGCTTGATTGAACTTCCAGCCAAAGCATTAATCTATTTTGCTATGAACAAAGTAGGCCGAAGGTCGAGTCAGGGTGGAGCGCTTGTTCTGACTGGACTGTGTATATTTTGCAACATGTTTGTCCCTCAAGGTAAATGATCAACAGTGTGACTACTATAGCTACTTCAACAATAATAGACAACAACAAAGCTACACTTTAAAGATCCTATATAGTAAAAAGAGAGATTAACAATTATTTGTAATTATTTGAAGCAGATCTAAGGCCTATATAAATGCTCTGAAACTATTGAAATTCTCAATCAACGGATATATGCTCACATACCCATAATCAGAAACTGTGCCTTTAAATTATCTGCAGGACTTCTGTTATTTCATAATGTGATAGATATAGAGATAGAAATACAAATATATCAGAGCAGACTGATTACCTATCTAATATAGTTTTAAGAAAGAAAAACAAGTCAAGATTTTTACTAGGCTGGTTTTTGTATGGTTCTTCTTATTTATGGTTTATGTTGGTAGGATGATGGTAAAGACTAACTAACTACTTGATTTCTGATAAGCTGATAGTAAAAATGGCCACTATGGTTCATATTTAGTCAAATACTGCACATAGCAGCCTTAAATACAATAAAAGGTGGGGTCAAAATGTTCTATGACTATTTTATTTTTCAGATATGGGGCTCTTTCGGACAGCTGTGGGAGCTTTGGGCAAGATGTTTTCAGAGGCATCTTTCACATGTGTATATCTGTACACAACAGAGCTTTACCCCACAGTAATGAGGTTAATAAACTTATAAAAAAATATAAAAATCTTATATAGAGCTTATTCCATGCACATTTACAACAGCATCTAAACTCAAAAGTAGAAAAACTAGAAGTAACAGACATCTGGATACTGAACCTGTATTTTTGCTTATACAGGCAAAATGGATTGGGGTACAGCTCCTTCATGGGCCGTGTAGGCGTGTCTGTTTCTCCCCTCATCATCCTCCTTGAAGAAGTGTGGAGCCATTTACCGAGTACCATATTCTCTCTGGTGGCGGTCACTGTAGGGCTGACATGTTATTTTCTTCCTGAGACACAAAACATCCGTTTACCAGAGACCATTGAAGAGGTGGAAAACCCAAGGTAATGGGCCTTCATTTGGATTTAATCTAAACATTTAAACAAAAGTTGTATTTCAACCCAAACATGTATCTTGTGTTTCAGAAGGAGATCAATCTCCGCATCTGATGAAAAATCACAACCCTGAACAAGTGCAAACAAAGGCCCAAAGTTGCCGGGCATATAAGTGTTGGTAGTATGTTTTTGAAGTGGTTTCTTTTGAATAATCGCAACCTATATATCTTTCTTAAAAATAATATTTTAATAAATGTGCTGTGTTTAAGAATCCCACACAGGATAATATAAATTAAACAAGCCAGATTCTCAGAGGCAAGGCGTGGCAGGATATGTTTGTCTGCAGGTGCAATAGTTAGACAGTCTGTGAGAACGGATATGAAGGGTTAGAGTTGTCAACTGCCATGTGGTCTCCATTGTTCCCACAAATTCATCCATCTTTCCAAAATAGCATTCACTGTTTTATATGATATGCACAACTCATACATTTTTTGCTAAACGCTATACTCGTTTTTTCATTCCTGAATAACTAATAAGTGTGATGGAAACTTCTGGATTAATGGAGACGAAACTCTGAGAGACACAGGGAGAGCTGGAGCTTTGATGGCAAACACTGAAGGTTTATTATGAAGTTAACGGCCGGAGAACTGACAAGACATGTGCTGCAGCCACGAGGTGACACAGCAGTAGCCAAACCAATTCTGAAGATCTCCACCTCAGACCCATGTATTTAGCTGGTTCTGAGAGAATAATCAACTTTGTGCATAACAAGATAAAACAGGCAAAGCACTATAACACCTCTATCAGCTGACGCCAACAGGCAGGAATAAGGAGACAAAACACTGAGAGCACAGCACCTAAGGTTGCAAGCCTGTGCTCAGTGAGGGCAGTACAAACTGATAAACTGGGTCAAAGGAAAATATTTCCCCAACAATAAGTAGTAAACAAATATTTAATTGATAAAGAATTTGATTATGTTGCATGTGTGTGAAAAATATTAAGGTCACTTTATTATTTTTGATAGTCCTTTATGTGTAATCACTCTATATCATCAAATGAAGGTATAAAATGCCAAATAAGTATATATTTATTTTAAGAACAAATATGAAATTCCAGAATGAATGTGTTTACTGTTCATTAAGGAAGATTTGTGTCATTTTTGTATTGATTATATGTTTTGCAATTAAAATGTGTTCTTCAAAGAGACTGGAACTCTTGTGTCATGCTAAATAGCAGATGTGAAAATCCACCAACGGTAACCCATGACTACTATTAACTTTATTCATTACATTTCACACAGCTCACAATTGTTTCCATCATAAATGTGTATTTTCTAATCTTGCTTTACCGTGATTTGTAACAAACATTCGCACCCTGTGAGAAAGCCACCACACGACACCCCAAATCCCCCTCCCAACATACACACATGTACTATGCACACTTTGCCGAGAACTAGTTTTGTTGGCTTGCTTGTTCTATTTGTTTGGCACTTAAGTGTATGCCCTTTATGACAACAAGCTGTTTAATTCAGATAAAGAAAGGGAAAAGAAAAAGAAAAGGACGAAAGACAATTGGCCTAGCTGCCGGTGAACAAAGCATTGGTCCCTCCCTGCACCTCCTCCCTTAACTGATTTAAGACCTGTCCTATGCTGCAATCTCTCAATTTAACTGAGCTGACTTCCTGTTTGACATGTGGACTTTGCACAAGGGTGGTAACAGGAGAGGTAACAGACAAATTATAACAGATTAAAACCTTTGTAACTTGGGAAAATGTCAATAAGGGACCTGGGAGTGAAAAGTTGTGTTCCTTGAGGACATTTCTTACAACTGCTAACCTGTACAGCTTAGCAAACTGCAATTATTTAATTGTTAGCTAAACTGGCTAGTCATGCTAACGTGATTGCTAATGCTAAAGCTAATGCTAGCACTGTAGTTACATACTGGGGAAATAGTGCACAAATGTTAGCCTAGCAAAACAAAAGTAGCAACAACTGTTGGCAGACTAAGGGGAATTAAAAAATAGAATTGTGTGTTGTTTGGATGCATGTAAGAGCTGTGTGCAACCTACTTATAAGCAAGAATAGGGTAACCCTGTAAATCGCCTAGTTACAGTATTTGACGAACATCATTACTTTCTGTGATTCACAATGTCTCCCTTTAGACTGCCTCCCAGGCTCTCACTCAATATTACCAAAGTAAGGTGCAGATTTACTTCTAAAAAGCTGACTTTGGCACATGGACCTAATGTACTTTGGTCGTTAACAAATGATTAATTAATCTAACTGACTATGCATTGTGTTTGCACTGTCTTTACAATACATTAACATATTCTCGTTGCTCTCCGTTATGCAAAATAACAGAGACTCACTTCCACACTTACATGTTTTATGCTTTTTGTTCTACCTTTCTCCCTTAGGAAAATATATCCAACCGTAATTTTTTCTTAGGTGCATTATCTTGAAGATGAAGTTTGAGAATGTGCTGGCAGAGGTGGACGGCTTTGGGAAATTTCAACTAATGACAATCTTCTTGATGGTAATACCTCGTGTGACTTTGCCTTTTCACTTTCTGATGAATAATTTCATCGCAGTTATTCCCTCTCACCACTGCAACATCAGCTCTCTGGATGACAGAGCAGTTTTTAAGAATTTATCCCAGGAAGAGAGGCTTGTTGTTGGTATTCCAGTCCAGGAGGATGGGACTCCAAACTCCTGTCAGATGTTTGCAGAGCCTCAGTATCATCTGCTGCTGAACTCCTCCAGCATGACTGAACTACCAACAGTGCCGTGTCAAAATGGATGGGTCTACGATAACAACATCTTCAAGTCTACTCTGGCCACAGAGGTGAATTTTAATTATATTTACAATAGTCAAAGTAATCTAATTCCCAGATTAGCCACTTTAGAGTTCACTTTGTTGTCTCCTGTCTGTTTCCCTCATAGTGGGATCTGGTTTGTGATAAAAGAAGAATGAACAGAGCCACAGCCTCTATCTTCTTCTTGGGCGTCATGTTTGGAGCAGCTGCATTTGGATATCTTAGTGACAGGTGACTTTAACTCTTAAATAAATCCAACTACAATTTATTGGTTTTACAGGGTTTTGATTTAAAATTGTAGGTCAGTTTTTCAACAGTAGAATAATTACAGTTTCAGCTTGCAGACACTGCCATTCTGTGGTTTATTTATCATCATCCCGATTGCACTAACACAAACATTGATATATTATAACACAAGTAAGGACATCTGTGACTTTTTCTTGGTCAGATAGTTAAACTTCAGATAGAAGTGAAGTTAATAATTGACTACAAGAGTGTCACCTGCTTCAAAACCAATGGTACGGAAGATTTTTGTTTTCCTAACAAACCAGGGTGTTAATCTATAATACATCTGTCTCACAGGTTTGGCAGGAAGAGAACGCTTCTGATCTCCTACATGTTAACCACCGTCTTTGGATTTGCAAGTGCTTTTTCATACAATTTCACCTTGTTTGCTGTCATGAGGTTTCTCACTGGATTTGGAATTTCTGGAGTCAACATAATCGCCATTGTCCTTTGAAAGTTTTATCTTATAGTATATGTGTTTGTCTATTCACATCAAATGAATGAATTGATATATAAAGCTTGTGGTAATTCGTAACAGTCAGACAGACATTTAGCACAAAATCGAACATAGCACAACATTAACAACATTATCAAGCAACAAACATTGTTCATTCAGCTGTATTTACTTTTAAACTGTGATGAATAAGCCAACATAGATATATTTACATCATTTGTTGTTAAAAGGCAGGTCTGAATGTCAATCCCAACATTAAAGTTAAAATCAATCATAAAAGAATAAGACCCGAGTAAAGCGTAAACAAACATACCTCACATTACTTCTATCCTACATGATAATATTCTCTTAGATTTGATTTGATTGGTCATTTTCTATCACAGGTATTGAATGGGTGGACATCAAGCATCGAACAGCAGTTGGCATTTTAATGAGCCTGGACTGGAGTATTTTTACGACTCTGCTTCCTGTTGTGGCCTATTTTGTGAATGACTGGAGGGTCCTCACTGCCACAGCAACCTCCCCGCTAATTCTAGCAATGATCACATGGTGGTAAGGATAAAGTACCACATGGAACAACCAACTCCCTGCCAAAATGAACGTTCATATATTTTATCTTGTGTCTTTAATTGAATCATATTTTGCCACAGGTGGGTCCCTGAGTCTGCCAGATGGCTGATAAGTAATAGAAAGCTGAAAAGTGCTCATTTTTACCTGAACAAATGTGCAAAAATCAACGGCAGAGAGCAGTTCATGGCTGACCTGAAGCCTGGGGTATATCATACATATGGTTTACTTTTTTCAGCCATTTGTATTCTATGTAGCTGACAAATGGTTTCTTTTTACACTTCAGGTTCTGTCCGAGACTACTGTATTAAATAAAGAAACCAGAAAATATTCGTATTTGGACCTCATAAAGACACCCCAAATGAGGAGACTGACTCTTCTTACTGGCATCTTGTGGTATGTTTGTTTTATAGTTTTAAACATTGGAAGCATTTAGCTATCATACTGTATATGGCTGTACTATCAGCATAATAAACTGAGTTGTCCTGATATAGGAAATAACTAGCTCAGCACATAGTTCATTTCTGCCTTGTTTGCAAAACTCGTCCTGTGTTTTATTGCTCGTGAGATTTGACTCATTTCATTTCAAACCTTTGACTGATAAGAATTATCAGAACGCACAAGTACTTTTGCTATGGATACCTGCATATACCTTGTACACTGATAGTGTGGATACATTGACTAAGTTTATCTTTATGTGTCCTGTTGTACTATTGTAGAAGACACCTGCTTAAAAACAGCAATTATGGTTTTCTGTTCAGCCATTGTGTCATATTTCTGTTGTACATTGTTTACATTGAATACATTTTGTCTTCTTTTCCACATAGGTTTGGCGTGTCTTGTACATATTATGGAATCAGCTTAAATGTTGCTGGGTTTGGTGTGAATATTTTTGTCACACAGTTCATTTACGGCGTGATTGAAATTCCAGCAAAAATCTTCATCTGTTTCACATTGAATAAAATAGGCCGAAGGATGAATCAGGCTGGCACACTTGTCCTGACTGGATTGTGTATATTCTGCAACATTTTTATTCCTCAAGGTAAATTATCAATTCATTTTTGTATTCTTTTGAAAGATTCAGGTTATATAGCTCCTGCTATAGTAGCTTACCGACAACAACACAAATCAGAATGACTGCCAGAAATTAATAATTTCGTGGTAGTATTTTTTGTAACCTTCAGTAATTAAACTGTTCAAATATGACTGTAAAAAAAGCCTTATTCCAATAGAACAATTATTGTAAAACATAATGAATTGTACCATGGTTTATACAAGCTAGGGTTATCATTTTATTTTTTCAGAAATGACTATCTTTCGGACAACTGTGGGAACTTTGGGAAAGATGTTTGCAGAGGGAGCTTTTACAATGGTGTTTCTGTACACATCAGAGCTTTACCCTACAGTAATAAGGTCAGTGAAATATCTCATGCAAATATTTTCTGTTGATCATGCAAGATATGGTAGCAACAGACTAACATCAAAGCCAAGATGTCCTTCTCCACAGCCAAATCCTAAAGTTTCTTCTTGGGGATTGTAAGGTGCCTGCTGGGATATGAAAACCTTCACGCATGGTCCAAATCTGTTGCACTGACCTGCCCAAAATACCTCCACAGAGAGGTCTTCATGATGTTGGGGAACTATTTTTCTAGGCCCATAACTTTGACCCAGTTTATCAGTTTGTACTGCCCTCACTGAGCACAGGCCTGCAACCTTGGGTGCTGTGCTCTGTGTTATGCACAATGTTAATTATTCTCTCCGAACCAGCTAAATACATGGGTCTGGGGTAGAGATCTTCAGAATTGGATTGGCAACCGCTGTGTCACATTCGTGGCTGCAGCACATGTCTTGTCAGTTCTCCGGCCGTTAACTTCATAATAAACCATCAGTGTTTGCCATCAAAGTTCCAGCTCTCCTCAAGTCTCTCTGAGTTTGGTCTACTTTGCTCCAGAAGTTTCCATCACACATGAGGCATTCTCTTTCAAGACAGAGATCATCATCCTTTCTAAGGGAACATCCAGTCACCTTGTGAGGGGAACATATTTCAAATACTTTCATCCGAGATCTGATTCTTCTAGTCACTACCAAGAGTCCCGATTATGGATGAATCACCCAAACTACCAATTGATCAACCACTCCATCTTTCTCTTGTGATCGACGCCCCAGTATACTTGAACTCCCTAATTTGGGACTTTGACTAGCTCCTAACTGAAAACAATCCATCTTGTATTGTACAACGCAACCAATATCCATCACACTAGAAGATGAAGGTAGCAGAACTACATGATCTGAAAAAAGAGATGACCGTACTGGACATCATTCTGTCTGTGAAGATTTAAATATGTAGGGGATCATGCTCAACTTTGCCAAAGGTTTGCATTCACTTAAATGCACTTTACCAAACCACCAAGTACTAACAATTAAGTTCCCCTCCCTGGACTGACTTCAAAAGTGTGCCCCCAGTCTCCCTAATCTGAGGAAGTTACACAAATAAGCCAATAACTTTCCTTTTGTTTTTGTGTCTTTTTGTTACATAGGCAAAGCGGATTGGGTTACAGCTCCTTCATGGCCCTCACAGGTGTGTCTGTGTCCCCTCTGATCATGGTTCTTGAAGAACTGTGGCTCCCTCTACCGGGTATTGTCTTCTCCTTGGTGGCCTTTGCTGCAGGGCTGTCAGCTTGTTTACTTTCAGAGACACACAATAGCCGTTTACCAGAAACCATTGAAGATGTGGAACAGACAAGGTACAGTCTTTTGTAACAGAATTTTGAGTTTTTAACTGTCATAACATGAATGTATGAAAATTATATTTTTTTGTATTTCACAGGGCGATCAGTCCGGACATCTGAAGAGACTTCTTCTGTTAATTCATTTTTTATTAGATATTGGAAGATTATCGATTTTAAATAAAGAAACTGTAACATGTTTTATGTTACTTGTGTAAGTATGTCTTACATAAGAAAAATTCTGTATGCATTTTTATAACACACTATTAAAAAACTACCCCTGATTCATATCTGCTTTTGTGTTGTAATGCATCAAAGAAATTATACTGTACTTCTTAGAGATTTTTATAAATTGATGACTCATGCTGTAACTATTAACACAAATACATTCTTTGTTTTGCACTTACACATACAAAAGTTATTTAGTGGTTAAGTGAGGTCAAATATTTACAATTTTCAACTGCAATCCCTGGGTTAGAGAAAAGCCAAAGGTAGTCTTGTCTTAGTCTTTTTCAGTCTGAAGCCATGAGCGTATGAGGATTAGTTTTCTCTTAGTTTCAAAGGATTTTGCACACAGGTCGAGGCCACTATGAAGTTCGAGAACATTCTGGCTGACATTGATGGATTTGGAAGATTTCAGATAATGATAATTGTGATCAGCTTCATCGGCCGCTTCACATTGCCCTGCCACTTCATGCTTAACAACTTTGTAGCGGCTGTTCCCTCTCACCACTGTGACATCAGCTCTCTGGATGACGGAGGATTTTTTAGTAATTTATCCCAGGCAGAGAGGCTTATTGTAAGTATTCCAGTCCAGGAGGATGGGACTCCTGCATCCTGTCAGATGTTTGCAGAGCCGCAGTATCATCTGCTGCTGAACTCCTCCAACATAATTGAAGTACCAACAGTGCCGTGTCAGAATGGATGGGTGTACGATAACACCACCTTCAAGTCAACTGTGACCTCTCAGGTGAACTTCATTTCTTGTTAGTTGTAGAAGATCAAACAAAATCTGATGTATTTTTTAACACCATGAACCTTTTGAGAAGCTCAAGTCCTCAAACACCAGAATGAACCGGTTTCTTTCTATATTTGTATTCCAGTGGGACCTGGTTTGTGATAAAAGAGGGAAGAACAAAGCAACTGCTACAATCTTTTTTATTGGAGTGATGTTTGGAGCTGTGACCTTTGGAAGTCTGAGTGACAGGTATCCGGCTGGGCTGCTTAGTATTCAGCTTCAAACTAATTACCAGGTGTTAAAACAAAATTCTTCTTCAATTAAATATTGGAGACTTTTTGCCTTTCCGTAGGTTTGGCCGAAGGATCATGCTGTTGGTGTCCTATGTGTCTGGAATGCTCTTTGCTATTGCAAGTGCTTTTTCTACGTCCTACTTGATGTTTGCAGTGCTGAGGTTCTTCACTGGGTTTTGCATCACCGGCATCGTCATTGTCTCAGTAGTCCTGAGTAATAACATGTTTTCACTTCTGTTGTTACATTCTGTCTCATGTTGAGCTCACCTCAGAAGTTTAGGCCACCAAATGCAGAAGTAAAAACCTGATTTCATGTTTGCAGGTGTGGAGTGGGTGGACATCGAGCACAGGAAACTGGTTGGGGTGATTGATAGCTTATCCTGGGCATTTGGGAACATAGTATTTGCAGCTATTGCTTACTTTGTGAATGATTGGCGGTGGCTAATTCTGAGTGTAACCTCACCTCTAATCTTGGCCATCATCACCTGGAGGTAAGACTCAGAAACTCAGCTTTTGTCTAATATAAAGTCCCTACAGAAAGCCCGGGAGGTGTAGTGTTTGGGTTGCTTAACATTTGCATTGTTTAAAGATAAACATTGGGGGTTGAAAAAGTGAAGTCAAATTTAATTGGATATTTCGTTTTTTGTGTCTTTTGCCTCTCTTTTGTCGGTACACGGTACATTTGTGCTGCGCCTGTACCCAACTGGGGCTAGATAATATACTTGATTAGATACATTTCTTTCATCATCTTATTTTTTTTATGTAAACATGCAATACAATTCATTGCCATGTAAAACAAAAGGATTCATATAAATCATCTTTGTCTTAGGTGGATGCCAGAGTCTGCAAGGTGGCTCATTGCCAACGGAAGGCTGAAGGAAGCTCAGATATATTTGAAAAGATGTGCCAAGATGAACCGAACAGAGGATTCTATTCAGACACTGAACACAGAGGTTATGATATTCCATGTGATGCTTAAATTAAGAAAAATAACAAGATTGCAGTCTTGGCCCTGTCATTTTTCAATGTCATTTTTGACTTTGCAGAGGTAATAATGCTGCTTTGCATTCTTTCAGACACTAGCAACCATTGTTGTGACTGAGAAAAGTGATCGGACCTATTCCTACCTCGATCTGATACGAACACCAAACATAAGGAAACTGGCTCTACGTACTGGTGTAGTTTGGTCTGTATTCCCAATGCCATTGTGCTCAACGATTTTAGTTCTTAAAATACATTATGTCTTTGTGTCAGAAAAGTCAGTTATACCTTATGAAAGACACAAGGTAAATAATTCAACACAAACTATCAATTTGATTAAATGAGTCTCACTTTTCTTTCCTTAGGTTTTGCGTGGCAACTGCATTTTATGGTATCAGCTTCAACCTCACAGGCTTCGGGCTCAACATCTACCTCACTCAGTTTGCCTATGCTACCATTGAGCTCCCAGCCAAAGTTGCTATTTACTACTTACTGGATAAGATCGGCAGGCGACGCACTGAAGTGGGAGCTCTGCTGATGACTGCTGCCTGTCTTGGAATTAACATTGTAATACCTAAAGGTACAGCATTCATTGAAGACCACTGACCTGCATACATCTAAGGCAGGGGTGTCCAAACTTTTTTCACCGAGGGCCACATACAGAAAAATATATGAAGGGCTGGGCCACTCACTAGAGGTTTATTGCCTCATAAGTTCAGTTATAAGTTAGCAAAATCAATCAAATGTAGGTAAATGATGCTTGTGAGTGTTGGCAGCTCATCCCTTAAAACAGAAGCCTCAGATTGATTATAATAAGGAGAAATAGGAAGGGTGTATTTCAAGCTTGTTATGTAAATAAGTCATTGGGCTTTTTTCTTATCAACTAAGATATGTTAGAACATGTTTCCAACTTTAATTGACTGAATTTTATTTGAAAAGTGGTCTATTAACACATGAATACTACTGTGTAATATATTTTTACATTAATATTTAAGAAGTACAATATAAGACAAGTTTCATTTGTGGGCCATATTTCATTATACTTTTTTAATTTGCTGAGGGCCGATTAAAAATGGTCCATGTGCCGCATTTGGCCCCCGGGCCGTAGTTTGGACACCCCTGATCTAAGGTTTCGGTTATTCTGCCTTTTCAGCATGTTGCCGTATATATATAACAGATTAAACTCATTCCTACAACCAACAGCTACAACAATAAAAAGCCATCCGTGTTGCTGATGTTCTTCTTTCAGATATGTCTGTTGTCAGGACAGTGGTGTCGGTCCTGGGAAAAGGGTGTTCTGCTGCATCCTTTGGAACGATTGTGCTCTACAGTTCTGAGCTTTATCCCACTGTAATAAGGTAAATATGTCTTTTGTTTTCTTATCAGTCCTTCCACCTTTTTGATTTGTAACATACAGTACAACACTAGTGAACATTGAATAAATCAACTTTTTCTACCTTAATGAAATCAGCATTTAGGGCCCTAACGTTGGTCTCCTATCTGTTTTTTCAGGCAGAACGGTATGGGTTACAACTCCTTCATGGCTCGGCTGGGTGTAGCTGTGGCTCCTATGATTCTATTACTGGATGAGGTGTGGAAGGAGCTGCCTCAGGTCGTCCTTTGCTCTGCGGCAGTACTGGGGGGGATAGTGGCAAGTGCGCTGCCCGAGACACGAAACCGGTGCCTGCCAGAGACGATCGAGGACATTGAAAGCAGTGGTATTGAAAAGTCACTGGAGAAAAGCGTAGAAATAAAGTGATATATATTAGTATAATTATCTTCAAATACATTTTGGTTGGTTGTGAGGAAACTTGGGGAGGTGTGAGGAAAACCGTCTGGAGATTAAGCTCTGTAAAAGTTGTCACCATTTTACCTGTATATCATAAGTTCCATGTAAGGTAATGCATAAAACAATAGTTGAACTTTAATAAAGTAACCACTGAAAAAACGGTATTAATCATACTGAAATAAATGAAATGTGTTGGTTTATCTTTAGCAAGCCTAAACTCCTGTTTATATATTTATAATCAAGCAAATTATGGGTTTATCTACTTAATCAGTATCTTATCACAAGAAGATAGGCACCACACTACTTTTGCAAGGCTTTACTAATGAATATGTACGCAGCGATTAAGTCAAAGCTTCTTTATTAAAGAAACAAAGCAAGCACAATTGTTTTTATGACTCGGCAATCTTCTTAAGGAAAGTCAACCACATCTAAATGACATGTTCCTGATATTCCTTTTGAAAATCTTAATAGCCAGGTCTAATATTTGCGGCTGATATTTCATCTGACATTACACTTAGTTACAGAATTAACATTGATGGGGAAAACAAACAAAAAACAAAATAAAACAAAATATAAAAATCAAAATGCCAAATTTCAACATTAAGATACAATGATACAAGAAAATCTAAAACTAAAGGATGCAGTTGTTTTCCAGGACAGTTATTGGCTGTCGCTCAGTACTGGGAATACTCCTTGCTATCTAGTTTGGCAATGATTCGCTCCAGCTGTCTTTTAGCTTCACATTGGGGGAAGTTACCCATTTCATAGTACTGAGGGGCAATCTTCACCAACCTGTAACAGAAGAAAGAAGGAAATCTGTCAGGAGATCATGTGCGAACCATATTCTATTATAACAATTCGTCTTTATGAATATGTATTACTAGAAAAATGACTGCACATACCACTCTGGTTTGATGTCTGTGCAAGTGCGAATGTAGTTTTTGGTGGTCAGGACAAATTCATTATAGAGCACCCACTCGGGCTTGTGGTCCAGGACTGTGGAGGGATGGAGTTGGACCACTTGGTTGTCTTTGACAGTGAGGTAATGACCTGTGCGCTCCAAATGAGCCACCTGGTGGATAAAAAAAACCAGATTCAATCAAATGTATAGAAGAATTCCACAAACATCTATGGTACACTCTTCAGTTATATCCTGTAAAACATTGTGAAATATGTCATTTGATCAGCATCCTATCACAGAGCTGCTTAAACATTTCCTGATTGGTGTTCACCTGCATGAAGAAGCCG